TTAAAAATCTTTATTTATTTATTTAACTGCCATCCCCATCTATCTATGTATGTATCGTTCTCACATTGAAAAAATAAAAAGAACCATGACATGAACAGACATACGCACACTCATGTCCATTTAAAAAATAAAGGACAAAAGAGAAACTTGGGCTTTATCCATTCACACTTGGCAAAACATTGAACCCAAAAGACAGGATCCATTTGTGTGACGGCCACCCTGTGATTTGTTTGTCACCTTGGAGCCCCAAAGCTAATGAGCATTATCCACAGAGGAGTGGCCACAGACGCAGCTGTAACACCTGACACTAGGGTATGGAAATGCAGGGAGTGGACAGGGTCACAGCGGTATCACAGATTCTCTCCCTAATTTTGGTTGCCGTTGGCAAACAGGCCCTTCCACATGACAAGGGGGTCATTTCCTAGCTGCCTCAGTGAGAATGAATTGCCATGTTCTCTCCACTATAACCTCCGTCTGAATAGACCTTTTGACTGTGGCAGGGGGCGCTGTTGAGTTGACTCTGACTCATAGCGACTCCGATGTGCAGATAGAGCTCTGAGCCATTGGGGGTTTCAAGTCTGGGGCCTTTCAAAAGAAGACCACCTCTGGGTGGGTTTGAACCGCCAGCCTTCCAGTTAGTACAATCCAGTGTTAAACCATTTGTTCTACCTAGGGACTCCTTAGCTTCCGATAAGAAGAGCTTTTCTTTCCCTCCCTCTATCAAAGAACCTCATCCATAACTAATACATTCTGCAAGTGACATCCTGTCTCACATGGTTATAGATTTGCTTTAATTCAGGAAAGCCAGCCATAGACAGTGTTTTACATGAAGTTCACAGAAATTAGGCAGGATGGAAGGTTATAGATTCAACTCACATCACTGGCGATCTCTCCAGAGGCCCGAGCAGCCTGGAAGGGGAGCGCCTCCGTTGTCAGCCTGTAGCCCTGAGCACGAACGTTACGCCAAGACTCCTTGTATTTCGTCTAAAGTAGGAACACATGTAGATCTCCTTTAAAAAAAAAAAATTACACGAACCCACGAACAAAGACTCCCTTTTCCATTTGTAGCGCGGTGTTCCCAAATCGATTTCTGACATGCAAAAGCTGTTTTGCGGATAAAAATCTCATTAACACACATGACACTTAGCACATGTGTGTGGAGGCACGTTGCACACAGGCATCTAAAATAACACATCGAGGTAAGATTCTGTGGATGCCGAAAGGTCACTGTTGCGTGACCACACAGAAAGAGATGGAAGCAGCTTAGGAGCACGTCTGAACTCCAGTGTCAAGAAAAGCTTACGTCACTCAGATTGGCCGCGTTGGTTTTTGCTCTGACGAACTCCGGAAGACCCAGGGTCATGGTGTATTGGTGCCTGGCATCTTCTCCAGCTGCCTTATAGAGACGCTGGGCAAAAGAAGTAAGAAAATCAGTGTTGTGAGTTTCTGGGGTGCAGAGATTCCCTGATCTGAAATGGGGGAAACCATGTTTGTAAAAGGTCATTCGATGCGCCCTTTGATTACTTAAATGATTATATATTCCTGAGTGTTTTTGTGTACATCCTAAAAAAAAACCCAGAGGGAATAGAAGCAAATATTGTTGAATGATGATGCACGGAGGAGATTGTAATCATTGCAATGAAACAATGAGTATAAAACCCATGTTCTCCCATGTAAACTATCACCGAATTTATAATAAAAACTTTTTTAAAAAAGGCCATTCAAGGTAGAATGGATCAATCAAGACAAATCTTTGGTGAGTTAAGTTGAATATAGGAAGTTAATTATTCTCAGTTTGGTCATGGCCAGCAAAGCAAAACCGGAGCAGATCCAAATTTGTAAAATGAGGCTATATTATAGTAGGAAACATTTGGAGTTGATGCCCTGCTAATAACTTTATCTCCCTCCTAGAAAATAAGGGCAGCGTATGTGTTGCAAAGCAACTAAATCTCTTGATCAGCAGAGTTGAAAAGAGCGGTACCCTGATCAAAGATGGCGGCCAATTGCATTGCTTTAAGTGTGTAACTCTCCACAGTCTAATTACCCACGGTCCTGCATCAAGTGTCTGAACGAGCTCACTATGTCTCTTCCAAGTTTCCAATTTTAGGACTTCAACCCCTAATTTTTCCTGTCCTGGTTATCATTCGGATGAATCCACATTTTACAAATTCACGTCTGTTCCAATTTTGCTTCATCAGCCATGACTAAGTTGTCTCAAACTGATTCAAAACCCTGGTTGAGTGATCTAAAAGGAATATGTAAGGAATTACAGTTTGCTTTGCTGGGTTATGGCCAAGAAAGGAAAAATGAGTTTAGTGATTCTATTAAAAACCCTCTGCCATTGAGTTGATTCCGACTTATAACTACTCCATATAGGATTTCTGTAAATCTTTATGGGAACAGAAAGCCTCATCTTATTCCTGTAGAGTAGCTAGTGGGCTTGAACTCTCAACCTTACAGTTAGCAGCTCAAAGCCTAGCCCACAGCACCACCAGAGTTCCCTAGTAATACTAGTGTTGTTGTTGTTGTTGTTGAGTGCCGTTGAGTCGATTCTGACCCATAGTGACCCTGTGTAGGGTTTCCAAGGAGCAGCTGGTGAGTTTGAACCGCCGACCTTACAGTTCAAACAGCTTTGCAGTCTGGCGCATTAACCCACAGTGCCACGCTAAGAGCTCTTCAAATTGTAGACTTTTCCCTTGAGGACAAAACCAAAAGACAATACAAGGAGCTGAAGAATTTAGGAGAAGCTCTGCTTCTTAGGATTTGTTTTCAGTTGTCATCTAGTCAGTTCTAACTCATGGCAACCCTACGTGTGACAGAGGAGAACTGAGGCTCCACAAAGTTTTAGGGGAAATAAATGGCCAGGTCTTTCTTCCAGGGTGCCTCTGTGTGGACTTCAACCTCCCTCCACACAGTTAGCAGGCAAGCACATCAACTTTTGCACTGCCTAGGGACTCCTGCTTGTTGGAATGGAGAGTCCCCAATACTGGTCCGTATCCTTTCCATGCCTCAGATCCTTTCCAATGGGGAACTCACACATAATTCTCTACTAACCTCACCTATTCCAAACCTGTCAGAATTGAACAAGGAGTCGAATCAACAGGACTGGAATGCCTCATTGAGGATCTTTCATGTAAAGGTGTGAGCAGGTAAAAGGTGAGTGAGAAGAAGAGGGTTGGAGAATCAAGGAACCTGGCAAACTGTATATATAAACTGTCCTTAAACAACCAAGACACTTCCCTATTAGAATCAATTCCAGTAACAGTATAGAACAGTTTAGGCAGTATGGGACAGGTAGAACAAATGCTTTACAGATCAGGGTTTTCTCATACTTTAACTAGTAAATGACTCACTTGAAGATCTCATTCAATGTCCATTTGGACATAATAGGTCTGAGGCAGGGTCTGAGAATCTGCATTTCTCAGAAGCTCCCCCTGCTGGTCCATGACCACACTTCAGTAGCTACACCGCAGACTAAACCAGATTTCCAATTGAGTCTTCATTCCTTCCGGAGAAGGTTTATTGTTGTTATGTACCATCAAGTTATTACACCTCACAGGGATCTCATATAACAAAGTAGAACTGCCCCACAGGGTTGTCAAGGCCGTAGTCTTTCTGAAAGCGTCACGTCTCTCTCCATGAAGCAGCTGGGTTTGAACTGCCGACCTTGCAGTTAGCAGTCAAGACCTTAAACTACTCACTATGCCCCCACTTCCTCTGGGGAAATGTTTACACTTCACAGAATGACATTCCTTTCATTCAAACACCCATGTTCTCCCTACCATCACACACACACACACACACACACACACACAGAGTTTAACAAGCTAGTAGTGTTTAAAAGGCCAGTCCTAAAGCCACCTGGAGATGTTACCTCATTGGTAATCTGATTGCTGAATTTCGCATGAAGGAGGCTGGGCGAATCAGTCACCGCTGTGTACTTGAATGACTGGGGTTGTTGACGGTATTTACTCTGCATTCAAACACAAGAGGAGAATGAGAAGCTTTTTAAATACATTTGTTAACAGGAGTTCTAAAACAACTAAATCTAGCAAAGGCAGCTAGTCTGTCACTCCAGAATGCAGTCTGCCACCTGTTCTTGTGACCTCAGATCTCAGACCTTAAAAGGCAAGAGCAGCAGAATGGCTTTTCAGAAAGGGCCATGGAGTTCTGTGTCAATTCAACATTTATTCCCCCACCTCCGCTCACAGCAATCCGGAGCTCCTCACCCTTCAAGGTGCAGCAGAAAACGACGATGAGGCAGCTGTAAGAATACACACACCCGCACCCATTCTGGAAGTCAGCAATCAGTAAATCATAGTAACTGAGCTCCTGAAGCAAACCATGTTGTTGTAGTGAGGTGCTGTCGAGTCACTTCCAACTCGTAGCAACTCTATGTACAACAGAACAAAACACTGCCTAGGCCTGAGCCATCTTCACAACCTTGCTATGTTCTGACTCGTGGAGGCTCCATGTCCAGCAGTCAGGGTATCAATCCACCTCACTGGGGGCCTTCCTCGTTTTCATGGACTCTCCACTTTACCAAGCACGATGTCCTTCTCCAGGGACTGGTCCCTCCTGATAATAGGACCAGGTACATGAGACGAAGTTTCACCATCCTCTCTTCTAAGGAACATTCTGGCTATACTTCTTCCAAGACAGATTTGTTTGTTCTTCTGGCAATCCCTGGTATATTTAATGTTCTTTACCAATACACCATAATTTAAAGACATCGATTCTTCTTCAGTCTTCCTTATTCACTGTCCAACTTTTGTATGCATGTGAGGTGAGTGAAAATACTAAGGTTCGGGTGAGGTGCATCAAAGTGACATCTTCGCTTTTTCACACTTCTAAGAGGGCTTTTGCAGCAGGTTTTCCCAGTGCAATATGTTGTTTGATTTCCTGACTTCTGTTTCCATAGGTGTGGATAGTGGATCCAAGTAAAATGAAATCCTTAACAACGTCAATCTTTTCTAAGTTTATCCTGATATCTTGATGCTACTTATTGGTCCAGATGGGAGGATTTTTGTTTTCTTTGTTGAGGTGTAATCTATACTGAAGGTTATAGTCTTTGATCTTCATCAGTAAGTACTTCAACTCCTCTTCGCTTTCAGCAAGCAAGGCTGTAGTATCTGCATACAGCATGTTGTTAATGAGTCTTTCTCCAATCTTAATGCCACGTTCTTCTTCATAATTCCATCTACCTCACTTAGGCAGCCAATGAGTGTCTTTTTGCTCCCATCATGCCCTCCTCTCCTTGCTTTGACCATTGTTGGAAGTTCTGTCATCCTCTTGGAGGTGAGCAAGATCCCCCAAGAGTTCAAAGAGTGATTCTCCTTGAACCTAAAGGAAATTCTAAGCTTGGAATACTAAACTTCTTGTATTTTTAATGAAATTATTACCACGTTTATAACATATATTTCCTTATATGTTAAATAAGGAAGCATAGTACTTAGATTATGGCTAATCCTTATAAAAACCAACAAGGGCAGTATTAGTATGGATAAGAAGCTGAGGTTCAGAGAGGACAAGTCACTGACCTACAGTCACACAGCACATGAGTACTAGCCTAGGATTTCCATCTCCATCTGTCAGGTGCCAAAGCCTACCTCTATACATTGTCCCATTGGCCTAGTCTTCAAAATGGCGCTAGGAAAGTACGTCGTAGGTTGTTGTTTGTCGCTGTTGAGTCATTTCTGACTCATGGAGGCTTCATGTATGGCAAAGCAGGACTGCTCCATGGGGTTTTCAAGGATGTGAACTTTTGGTAGCAGACTGCCGGGTCTACCTGCTGAGGCACCTCTGAGTGTGGGTGAGAATCACTAACCTTTTGGCTAGTCATCTAGTGCTAAAGTGTTCGAGTCACCCAGGCACTCATATGTTTATAAGGGAGTTGATTCTGTAGCTGCAAAGCTGACTTACACCCAGTCTGGGACAGAAAGTTCAGTAAGAAAAGAGGCCACTCAAGAGGTCAGCAGACAGTGGACACTACTAACAACGTAACATCCGACTCACTTTGTCCAGATAGTACTGAATGCAGAACCTCTCCTTGGGGAGGAAACCTCTAGACGCTATGCCCACCACCCACCTCAGGGCTGCTGGTTACCTCGCTGATGAGTTCAGACGCCTTCTTTTTCCCTTCAATCTCCAACGTGCCTGGAATGACACAGCCAACCCCACGCATAAAGTTCAGGTCTGAACGATACAGATTCTACAAGGAACAAGGCAAAGAATTAGAACAGTTGAACTCTCAAAACCGGGAAGCAAAGAGACACCAAGGGTCTCATGAAAAATCACTGCCAGAAGAATGTCATTATTAGAACCCAAGGTCAAAGCAGTCTCCAGATAAATTACACTTCACATATGAATGCTTATTAATAAATATTCAGGAGGGAGACAATGTGAGGGTCAGAAAAAAAGCCATTCTGCTGTTAGCTGTTTCAGAGTTACTGTTGTAGCGACGCTAGACAGAATTTGGGAGTCCCAGCATGGCACTCTAGGATAAGCATTGGACAGCTAACCACAAGATCAGCGGTTCAAATCCACCATCCGCTGCTCAGAGATTGCTATGGGTCAGAACTGACTCGACAGTACTTACCATCAACAACAGACAGATTTTTATTTTAAAGTAGGCTATCTCTGGTAGCATAGTGGTTACGAATCGGGCTGCAAATCTTAAGTTCAGCAGTTAGACACTACTAGCTGTTCCGCGGGAGAAAGATGAGGCTTTCTGCTCCCGTAAAGATTTACAGCCTCGGAAACCCTGTGCAGGGTCGCTATGAGTCGGAACTGACTCCACGGCACACAACAACAACAACAATCAAAAAATACCAATGCAACAGCAAAATGTGTTTAGAGAGTGGGATGTCTTGGTACGCATATGCAAATGGTTTAACAGGTCTTCTAAAACAAAACCAACAGCAGAGGGTGACATCAATTCATCATACATTAAAAAAGAGCTTATAAATTGATCTGGAATAGTCTGGGTCTGTCTGGGTCTGTGTGGGTGGGGGCGAGTATGTGTATTTGAGTGATTGGGGCTGACAGCTTAAAGGCTCCCCCCAAATTCACTCTGCTGTGGAGCATTCTCCCCTCCAGCCACCGAGATGCCCACCCCTGGGCTAGCTGCCTTCCAATTTCTAGCACACTAAAAGGAAGGGCAAGCCAGGCCTCTGCTCAGGTGACAAACAGGCCCCAGAGAAAAGCATGGCCACTCCCACATCAGGACTTCCTACAGCTGCTCGTAGGCTCCTGACAGTTTGAGTCATTTAGCAAACGCTGCACACAGACGAAGCATGGATCTGCATACTGGCAGACCCATGCACAGGCTGCGTGCAGCATTTGGTTTTCTGGCTCACGACTGTTACTAACAAGTCTCATAGCAAGACGGCTGGCCATGATGGGAAATTAGGGAGCATCACTCAGAACTGCTGCCTGTTGGGAAGAGAATCCTGTACCACCTTGGGAGGGAGGAGGGAGACACGCAGTACTTGTGGTCCTCTAGGCCGGCCCGCTTCTGAAAGCAGGTATGATGAGCTAGAAGCCAGAGGCCGGCAGTCTCTGGAGGACCCAGGAAGGACCACAGGGCCCTGATCTCCCTGCCTTCCTTCCTCCCAACATTCTCAGTCCCAAGGGGTCATTGAGCAACCTCCTCTGTGAATTTTACCAATCTTCAGAAGGTCAGCACAGAAATGTATGAAAATAGCCCACTCCAAGCTGAGGGCAGAAGTAATCCCACAGCTAGATCCTGAACAAGCCAAACCACAAATCCTGAGGGCATCTTGGTAAGAAACAGAACAAAACCCACAGCTGTTGAGTCATTTCTGACTCATGGTGACCCCATGTGTGTCAGAGAAGAACTGCTCCACAGGGTTTTCATGGCTGGACCTTTCAGAAGCAGATCACCAGGTCTTTCTTCCTAGATACCTCTGAGTAGATTTGAACCATCAATCTTTTGGTTAATGTTTAAGTGATCAACTGACTATGCCACCCAAGGACTTTTGTAAGACACCATCTGTGTCCAATGGCCAGCACCCCTGTTTCTCATTTATAGCTGGGGATCTTTGGCAAGCTAGTTAACTTTGAGCCTCACCATAGTTTATCTGCAAAATGGGGAAGAAGATTGTCTACATGTGGTTTATTATGAAAACTTACAAAATTACTCAATACATGGCTGTTGTTGTTGGGTTTGTGCCATCGTGCTTAAGGGCTAGGCAGGAACACCAGGGCAGTGTTTCAAAAGAACACTCCAATTCTAGAGGATTCCTCACCTCTGGAGCCCCCACAGAGCCCACAGGAACTCTCAGGCCACTACATCGAGTCAAACTTGAACAGAAAATGGTCCCAGCAGAGAAGCCAGCTCCCCTTACCTCACTCTGCAGTTTGTGAGCTTTCTTGACACAGCTCAACCTCAAGTCTTCCACCAAGGAAGTGTACTGGGGAAGTGGGTGTTTGTAGTCCTGGTCACTGGCCAGGGTCTGAGCCTTCTTAGCATGCACCAGGGTTACCATGTCCAACGGCAGATGGAACTGTGCCTTGGAGTGTTCAAAGCCTTTCTTGTAATTCACCTGGAGGGGCAGACAAACCAACAGCAGTTGTTTCAAAAGCCACGATTTGCTTCTGTCAGGCACAGTGCTGCAATGCAACTGTCCCAGGCAAACCAGGGAGACATTGGTTGTTGGCAGGGCCCGGGCTCCTTTCTTGCAGGGACTGGCACATTAATGAGAGCTCGACTCCAGGTCCTGACGCTCACTATCCTGGCTCCTGGAGGCTACTGGTTTGGGGGATGAAGGCCCATTGTCCCTTCCCACTTCCCCCCACAAACAGCCCCCAAAAACCTCATTGCTGTAGAGTTGATTCCAATTCATGTTGTTGTTATTGGTTGCCTCTGAGTTGGTTGCAACCCTTAGTGATCCTACGTACAACAGGATGAAACACAGCCTGGTCCTACACTATCCTCACAATAGTTGTTACTCTTGAGCCCATTGCTGCTACCACTGTGCTAATCCATCTCTTTGGGGTCTCCCTCTTTTGTGATGACCCCCCACTTAACCAAACATGGTGCTCTTCTCTAAGGACTTGTCCCTCCTGATATTTCCAAAGTATGAGAGACAAAGTCTGGTCATCTTGGCTTCTAAGGAGCATTCTAGTTGTACTTCTTCCAGCACAGATTTGTTTTTTTGTTTGGAAGTCTGGCAGTCCATGATACCTTTAATATTATTATCCAAACGTTAAACTCAAATGCATCAACCCTTCTACAGTTTTCATTACTCATTGTTCAACTTTCACAAGCATATGAAGCAACTGAAAATACCATGGCTTGGGTCAGGTGCACCTTAGTCCTCAAGCTGACAGTTTTTATCTTCAACACTTTAAAAAGATCTTGTGCAGCAGATTTGCCTAATGTAATATGTCATTTGATTTCTTCTATGAGTGTTGATGGTTGATCAAGCAAAATGAAGTCCTTGACAACTTCGATCATTTTTGCATTTATATGGATGTTGTTTATTGATCCAGTAGTGAGGATTTTTGTTTTCTTTACATGGAGATGCCACTCATACCAAAGGCTGTGGTCTTTGATCTTCATATTTTACGTAAATATGTTAAGTCTTCTTTGCTTTCAGTAAGCAAGGTTCTATCATCTGTATATTGCAGACTGTTAATGAGTCTTCCTCCAATCCTGATGTCATGTTCTTCTTCATATAACCCAGCTTCTTCGATTATTTGTTCTACATGGTGAAAGAACACAACCCTGGCACACACCCTTCCTGGTTTTAAACCATTCAATGTTCCCTTGTTTTGTTCAAACAACTGCCTCTTTGTCTTTGTTAAGGTTCCTCATGAGTACTCCTGAATATTCATTCTCCACAACGTTGTTCAGATCTTGTCATGATCCACACAGTCGAAAGCCTTAGCAGAGTCCATCAAGCACAGGCATTCTTTCTGTGTATTCTATGCTTTCAGAATTCTTATCAATGGAGGAAAAAAATGTGAAGTTGTCAAGGACTTCATTCTTCTTGGATCAACTATCAACACTCACAGAAGCAGCAGTCAAGAAATCAAACGACGTATTGCAATTGGCAAAGAACAAGGCACAAGGAATTGATGGAATAAAAATTGAAATCTTTCAAGAAAGTGAGGCAGCACTGGAGGCACTCAACTCATCTATGCTAAGAAATTTGGAACACAACTATCTGGCCAACTGATTGGAAGAGGTCCGTATTTGTGCCGATTCCAAAGAGAGGTGACCCAACAGAATGCAGAGATCATAGAACGATATCTTTGGTATTCCATGTAAGTAAAGTTTTACTAAAGGTAATACAGAAATGGCTGCAAGCATACATTGACAGAGAACTTCCAGAGGTTCAAGCCGGATTCAGAAGAGGCCGTGGAACA